GCCTTCGGGTCATTGACGGCGGGACCCATGCGATGTTGGCGCCCCTGATCAGCGGCTCGGGCGTACACAACCGAGATTTGCACTGTATTTGCACGATCGAGCCAAGTTTTTACACCAGTTCGATGTATGACACAAGTGCTAGCACCAAAGTAATCATTCGTGTCAAGTTCAAGCACCACTGATATAATTGACTCTTTATTTTTGCTTGAGTTGAGAGGGCACCTAACTTTCAGTGGTGTCGTGCCGCTTACCTCCCCCGATTCTCTGGGACGAGAAAAACAGACGGGTTGCCCACCCATCGCTGTCGGCACCAGCCTTCGCCCTTGACTACGTAATACTCCTATGGTGTTGTTTCCCAATTGCCGGGATAACAGTGACGACGACCGTCCTACAGCCACCAAATGGACCGATCCATCCACCGGGTCTGTTGTGTTCTGTCTAACACAGCGGCACTAACAGTGGATATCCGGCACGGTTAGCCCACGAACCGCACGCGCTTCACGGCCACAGCACATGACATGACCGTGTCTGCCTTAATCAAGTCTCGATGGCCGGCCGTCTCGGGAGGTCCAGCACCGCACGTAATCTTACGCGCGTTAATGGCCCGGCCAATTCCATGGTTGGAAACACGTACCCATCACCAATCAATGGACGCGTTGCCGTGCCAGAAAACTCCAGAGCAAATTAGGAGGCCGGACAACGACGGCTAGTCGACGGCGGCGTCGTGCCAGATTGCCAGGGTTTGGAATTGGACCCTGTAATTAACGTGTGATGTGGACGGCGGCGTTGCGTGGTGGTAGTATGCATTTCTTCTACTGGCTCGGTTTTCGATGATCTTTGGGTACGTGCGTACGTGGTGGTGACGAGTGGGACAAAGTACGGATGGAGAGTGGCTTTCGTTGAGCCATTGGTCACGTCTCATGTTTTGGAACTTGGATTTGGAAAATAACCCAATGGACTAGAGCGCGTATGTTGTAAGTGCATCTTCAACGCTTATCCGGAAATTTGCTCTCATGATCCGTTCGTGATCAAAGAGGACCATGGGCACCGATGCGGGAACTGGGATAGCCGCATATGTTCTGTTACATTTTGAATGAAATTTAGCGAATAAACAAATTTGATTCAAAGTTAAACAAACCGGACAATATTCATTCAGATAACTTTTACATAAAATCTGATGCTTTTCATCTAAACCCGGAGCAAATTCATTACATTTAGACATGTTTCAAGTAGACCGGACTCTAAACCTAGACTAAAATGACCGCCGGCGCCCGTTCCTATCTCCGGACGGGCATGAGCCCCGAAAAATGAAGCCCTGCCCCCTTTGCAACCCTCCACTAAACATGTCTTTCCCATGTCCCGCAGCCCGCTCATCTGACTGTCGGATGCCCTGGAGGAATGTGCTTCAGCGAGAGTGAAAGAATAGCCTCCGCTTCCCTCGTACCTTCCATATGTCCGGCTGCGCCGCTCATCCGAGTGTCCTCCGCTTCCGCAAAGCACATATCAAGGTTGGTTTTGGGGGCGGGGGACGATGGTGGCATGCGAAGAGGGCAAGATGCTGGGCGTGTATGCAGGCAACGCGTCAGTGGTGGTGGTGGCCTTCGTGGGATCCAAGCGGCGGTGGCCTCCCATAGTCTACTTTTCTTCGTTGTCGGCGGCCGCTGCGGACGTGCTGGGCGCCTCATTGATCTTCACGAAACCGACTTCTTTCTCCCCGCTCAAGGGTGCGGTTCCGCGAACGTTGATGGCGAATGGCGCGCGACGAGCAGTACGACACAACCTTGTCCATGGCGGCCGTGCTCCTGCGCTGTGATTACCATTTTTGCAACTGTGATGACTGCTTTCATCTATAAAAGGAGGGTCAGGCCAACCTTCACAAGGGTCGAAAACCCTGTCCATCTGCAGTAGCTTAGCAGCACCTCCCGAGCTCCTTGCCGGCAAGGTTGCGCTCTATGTAAACACATGGCTCGTACACTCATAAATCCACCAAAGCAGGAGTAGGATTTCAGGATACTGCGGCCCGAACCTGGGTAAAGCACTTTTTGTGCTTTCTTGGTTGTTATTGCTTTTTCTGCGCTGTGAGCCCACGCCAAATGTAGAAGGGGTTCTCTGGCCCCATAGCGATGACAGTCAATCTTTAGCCATTTGAATGCAGCGAGGAGGCATGCTCAGCCGGGTGTGCAGTGGGCGGCGCTCTCTCGGCCGACGCCCTACTTCAATGCCGGTAGTGAGAGGTCGCGTCCGCTCTGGGTCGGCAGCAATGTGAGCAGTTGGCGTGGGGCTGGAAAGCATGCGGGCGAAGAGGGGAGGGTTTTGGGTGGGCCATGGTTTCCAGACGCGGACATGTCAACGGTCCAGACGCCCATAACCCCGCTCCCCAACTTTGTCTCTGGTTTGCGGGAAAAGCACGTCCGGACCATCCTGCAGACCAATACATATTCACGTTTGATGGCAAAACACATCCCAACCACGTTGTCCAGACAATTACGGACGGTTTGAGGATCAATGTTGGAGATGCCTTAACTACAAGGTAGTTACCCTAAAAAAAACTACAAGGTAGTCTATCTCGAAACTGACAATAGGAAAAACAATTTAATGATATACTATATATTTGTTGGTGTGACGTGCGCTTTGTTGTATGGTCATGCAACGGGTGACTCTTGCGTCCAGTCTTGTAAACACAAAGACCCTTTAGGCTGGTTGTAATGGGGAGTATCATACACTAGTATCATGCATATGATACTACCTCCCTAATGCATAGTATCATGTAGTACTTTATTTATTGCCATGCATGACACAAAGTAACATAACATTTATTATGATACGGTATCATGATGATACTCCACCCTCTCTTTCTTCATTTAATGCTATGGCACCTCATCAAAATTGTCTAGTTGGCATGCATGATACTAGCTATGATACTACCATTACGATCAGCCTTAGGGGGTGTTTGTTTCGAGGGACTTTTTGGTGTAGGGACTAGAAAAAGTCCCTAGCAAACCAAACAGGGTGGGACTTTTTTAGGACTTTTTGCTAAAAGTCTTTAGAAGCACCTCTTTGAGAGTCTTTTTAAAAAAATCCCGGGACTAGAAAAAGTCCTGGACTAGAGAAACAAACACCACCTTAACCCACCAAAGGTTCAACCGTAAAGAAGAAGAATATGCAACAATGAAGGTCGAGTTATCTTAGAATATTGCAAGGTCTCCAATTGAACTTACTTTTTGACATTGTTCTCCGGTTGAACTGGTCTAGTAGTAAAGATGATTCAACAGTCGAACGAGTCCAACAGCGTGGTGAGCCTGCACCTGAAACGGGTCGCATAAAGCAAGCGGGTGAAAAGAAAAGATAAGAAAAGAATGCCGTGTGAAGCATGTGACGTGCAACCTCCCTCGCAACAGAGGAAAAAAGAAAAAGAGAAAGCAAGCCAAGGCTCCTTCCGTTAGCTTTCCTTGACGCCACACGTCACTCACGAGACGGCGACCGAGGCGACGCGAGCCGCCCACCAACCGGGTCAAAAAAAACACCACAGGCGCAGGCCGATCAGATCCCGCACACGCGACGCGAGGCGGCTCGCTCCCCTCGCGGCCAGCCCACACCGGCGCCTAGATCCCGATCCGCCCAAATTCCATTCCCGATACCTCGACCTCGCCCCCGCCTCCGCCATGGCGGACTGCCGCAGCCTCATCGAGTTCCTCCGCGCCTTCGAGCACCGCCGCCGCGCCTCCGCGGCGGCCGGCGGCTCCCCCTCGCCGTGTGCCCGCCCCCGCCGCGCGGCCTCCTCCTCCTCCTCATCGCCATCGTCGCGGGGAAAGCTATTCACCTCGCTCTGCGACAACCCGCCCCCGACCGCCGCCCTCGACGCGCTCGCCCTCCTGGCCGTGCTCGGCGCGCTGGCCTTCCTGGCCGCGCCCTACGCCAGGCTGCTGGCCCGCGAGGCCGCGGACCTGGTGCGGCAGTACCCGGAGGAGCCTTACTCGTACGTGGCCTTCGCCGCCGGCGCCGGCGCCGCGGTCGCCGCCGTGGCGGGGCTGCTCGCGTGGGAGGCGGCGGGCCACCACGCGCGCAAGTGCGGCAGGCCCCGCTGCCGCGGCCTGCGCAAGGCCGTCGAGTTCGACATCCAGCTCGAGACGGAGGAGTGCGTGCGCGGGAGCGGCAGGCTGCTGCCGCCCGGCGGCCACGCCAAGACGCTCCTCGCGGCCGCCGGCTCCGCCGCGCGCCTCGTCGAGCTCGGCGAGGAGCACCGGGAGCTCGAGGCGGAGCTCAGGAAGATGGCGCCCCCCAACGGCCGCTCCGTGCTCATCTTCCGCTCCCCCTGCGGCTGCGCCAAGGGCAGGATGGAGGTCTGGGGCGCCAAGAAGGTGCGCCGGATCAAGAAGTAGTAGTAGCAGCATGAGTGGATGACACCAGCGCTTACTGCTCTCCATAATAAACTACAGTAGTTTTCTAGTTATCACATATAGTACTCTATAATACAGTGCTCTTGCACTTGTGGCAAGTATAGTTGAGAATAAGGAGAGGAACAAAGGAATAGATACATGTCTTCTTATATCACTTGTGATGCACATCACACCCCAAGATTATACATAGCTTTGCTCTTTCATTTGCAGTTTTTAATTGAATTATGCAATAAGTGACTCTTGCCTTGCCTGATGCTGATGGTATACAAATAAGTGCTGCGATGTACTTTACTTCAAAACTCGTTTATGTTGTGTGGACGAACAGATACATCACTTTATATGCTGGTTGAATGACGTGCACAGGTGACTGCGGACGAATTACTTCCATCTTTATTCTACACACGCTTCTCTGAGATATTAGTTGTGTTCGTGAAGTGTGCATCAATTGATGAACTGTTCGGTTTTGTTTTAACTTTTAAGCTGTGTTGAGCTGAAAGTCGGGATAGCTTCTGTTACTAAATTGATTTAACCATGTTATTTGGGAGGGTAAGGTTCTGCTAGTCCCTGCTATTCTTACTACTTAAATTCCGAGAAATTATACTATATACATGGATGAGTATTTCTCACCATGGTTTACCTGTATTAAGTGTGACGCTTACTCGGTTGGTGGTTCTCTAGCTATCTTTGCCTTCTGCATTCTGTTCCTATATTGCATCCCTATTCCCTTTTTTATTATTACGGACTTGATATCCTATTCATATGTATTACACCTCTCGAAATGGAGATTTAAACTGCTGAGCCATAACATCTCAGTTTCTATACTCAATGGTTGAACTCTGGTGTACTAGTATTTTTTCTTGACCTACGCAGTTTAATCACCAAATAATGGTGTTGAAAATGCCAGGAAAAATTATTTGTATGCTCATTTCTTCTCTTCAATCATATTGCATATCATTAACAATTCAGCTCCAGCTGAAGCCATTTAAATCAAAATGCCTATACCCGTGATCACCATCATCAGTGTTTTGAGTGTTCAGATCAAGTTTCTTCCCAGAACTTGGATGCTCAAAACCTGAATGTTCAACCGCTTGTCTCTTGCAGTTTGGTTCTTCAAGATATAGTCTGTCCGCATCTCTTTCTTTGCTTCCTGAGGCTGAACTGGTGGTGCTGCCTCTGCCATTCTTTTGAGGTGTAGTATATTCCTGTTGAATCTCCATGTCACTTTCACTTCCAAACTCTGCTTTGTGGTACTCATTCACATTGTGCAAATGACCCATCTTACGCTCGCTTAGGCTTCTATTAAGGGAAAACTGGTACTCACGGTCAGGAGAGTGCTTTCTGCAAAATATTGAACTATCATCATATGCTTTGAGCATTCCATGGCTGTGTAGTCTATGCTCATTAATGAATCCTCCGGCTGCAGTCAAACAGTTGTTGGTTGAACTTTCCATGAACTGGATTTGCCTTGGTTCTAGTCTGTGCATACTTGAACTTTCTTTTATCTCTGTAACTGCATTGCTGAAACATTCGTTTGATACTTGTGAGACTAGTTCTGATATTTTCATCTTTGCATCTTCCAGGTTTGCAGGACCCAAATTCTGTTTTCCAAGGCTCTCTTGTGCCTGCTCTAGAACTGCCTGCAGATACTTCCCTTGGGCTTCTATCCGTAGTTGCAGATGCCGTTGTACCTGTTGCCAATTTAATTTCAGGTTAGAACCACTGTACTGATGGATATGTTGTAGTCACTGCATGCATGGTGTGTTACTTAGCTGGAATTTGACAAAAGTTTGTTGCTACATTAGAAGAAGGTATTAAGCATCCGAATTTAGTGAGTGGTGCCAAATTGCTTTTTCTCTCTTTTGGTTCTTTAATTGCTAGATTATATTCGTTTTATGGGGCCATCCCTGGAGGAAGTGCAGCGTTCAAAGAGGTCAAATAAGGATTTAGAATACATTATCAGTTTTTTCTTTGGTCGGCACGAGAGTGGTAGCTGGATGCTCGATTCAGGTTATCTTGATTTCCATCTACTGTGTGCATCTAATGAATTGTCTCGGTTAAGAGCTTATTACACAACTAGTTTCAGTACCTCACCTCGAGTTGTTCGTTTAATTGTCTCTGCACCTCGATTTGCATCTGTAGGGCTTCACCAATTTGCATAGTTCTGTCACCCAGTAAGAGAGATTAGTACTTCAATATTCACATGAAATACAATTTTGAATTGCATGCCAGTTTCCTTACTTCTCTGGCTGTGGAATGACATTTGTATTGATCATCGCTGGCACACTTGTTCCGGGCATGCCATCAGCTACAATTGCACATCCTATGGCTGCAAAATTTCATGGCCTGTGTGTCATTATACAGTTTTATTATAATGGTAAAGATAGAACTATAGAAGTTAAACTTGGGCTTACTGTTCTTGTTTGTCCCAACGTTAACTTGAGCTTGGAGGTTCTTACTGAGCCTGTATTTCTGAAACATCAAAGAAATTCTGACTTGACTGCAGTTATGGGTGCCATTTTTAACATGAGAATTTATGATTATCATGTACCTGAAGGTGGCTTTTCAGATGATACAAGGTGAGTCCTGGAATGCCCATAAGCCTCATGACTGTTTTTGGAGTAGCTTCTGCGTGATAAACATATGAGTGTAAGAATTCAGCGGACTTCTGTACAATGAGTAGATAAGAATCGTATAGACGTATACTAACTTTCTGCTCCGCCCAATTGATTGACCGCATCTACAAATCGCTGATGTAACTCGGGTGTCCATTTCAGCCTTGGTTTTGCATCGGTTGAGAGAACTAGCCCGGAATCTCCTTGCGTACTTCCTCCGTGCAGAAACAGATGCCTCTCCATGGGAAAGGTCGTCCTAGTAGTGAAGAGCTCACTAGGGCCCTGATGTTGGTGATACATCTTCTGCTGTAGAATGGACAGAAATTGTTAGAACAACAGAAATGTGGAGGGCAGAAAGATCAAACCAACTTCTTACTTGTTCTGCAGTCGCTTCCTTCCTCTTTGCTGTTGCACGTTGAAACTGTGTATTGAGTATTTCCCTACTGACAAGATGAATACCAGTCCTGTTCTCCGTGTGAGCTTAAGCCTGTTGATACCCTTTTGGTCTTCTCAGGTTGGTAAGCAATGCCCTGTGAGGGGCTCCTTATATGGGGAAACATAGAATCTAGCATCTTAGAACAAACAGCAGAAGAACAATCTTTAACCCAACTGACAGAAGATGCTGTCCTTAGTTATTCTTGGAAATAATAACCAAAATGAAAATATCAGTACTAATAGCAACCTGTGACAGCTGAGTAACATCAACCTTGTACCCCCTCAGTAATGAAACTAGTCCTTCAGCTTTCTCTGCATTTCTGTATGGAAACTTCAGCTGCATATTTTACTCATTAGATCAGTAGAAGGTATATGTACATAATAAATACCTACAACTGGAGCAATTTATCTTTCTGAAATGTTATTTTTTGGCATATTATCTGCTATCTGCTTGGAGCGTGAAAGATACATTTCCGAATCACTCATTTTGCCGAGATGGAAATATTTGTGCAACTTCTCTGTTACCTTAGTTACTAAGTACTTAGTTTAGTGTTGCTGGTTCATGTTATGTGATCAATGATTTTAATGTTCTTAGAGGAATACAGTATGTGTATCTTTGTTTAAATGAATCAATTAAGTTATTTTTTTTATTGCTGATACTTGTTGCCTTCTTGGAGAGTGACATCTTACGTGCAGAAACACAATTTTTCTGTCAATTTATTCTGTCCTTTGTACTACTGTAAAGTGGATAGAATATGAACAAGCACAAGTTCCATCAGTGTCCTTTCCTGAGATTGGTACATATTCTCATTGTAGTCCAGAAAAGTATGGACCTACTGGCTTATGCTCTTTACATGGGATAAGCTCCATTTGAACCAGACCACTTTGCTTTTAACCATCACTAGTCAAACAACAGCACTTATGTGCTATGATACTGTATGTGCTACACAACCTTCATCATTTCAGTACTTTTTGCTAACATAGGCAACTGCCTTATAGCAAGCATTCTTCTAACCAAGTCACTGAAAAGTTAGATGTGAGTTCTAACTTCTAAGCAGAAGTAGGCGTTATGTTTCCTCCCTCCCTCCCGATTACTTATAAAATATAATATGGGTACAGTACAGTAAATTCGTGTCTGGTTCGTCGGGAGATGTGTTCTGCAGCTCTAACGATCTGGTTTTGTTCTCTTCCTGCAGTCAAGTTTGTCAAATTGATCCGCATTTCATCAATTTGCCTTCATTCCTTCATATTTTTTTTTCTTTGGGACACTGATAGAAAAGGCATGAGTTATCCTCATGTATCATGACATGAGTAATAAAGGGTAAGGATAAAAAGGAACACAAGTTATAGAGTTCGAAATACCCCCCCCCCCCTGGTCCCTCCCTTTGTGCCTTCTGTACTTATGCACCAGTTCTCTATGTGTGATTCAATTGATTGAACTGGCACCTCATTAGAACTGTGCCAGTGGTATATGTCGACACTTGGGACCACCTGTGAGACATTTTCAGCTGCAACGGTTTAATGGTCTTCTGCACTTAAAGGAATGAACCATCAGGAATATCCCTCTTTATGCTTTACTATCACTGATTCCACTAACCCTTCCAGTAAGGTCTTCCTTTCTTCTCCCTGGGAATGATAAGTTTGTAATATGCTTCATCTTTCTTCTCCCTTCGAAACAGTAAGGCTCTCATAGGTTTTAGTGGAGAACGTTTGCTCTCTGTATTATGATGTTTATGACACTACCACAGATTTATTTCCCCATTCACAAAGTTACTGTGTTTACTCCTATGTGCTAATGACTGTGCACGTCTGTGTAGCATGGGTATGTCAATTTATCTATCTGTTTCTACTTGCTTCAGTTTATTTTCCTTAGGTAACCTGTCAGGTTTTGCATACTGTTTGAACTGGAGGGTGGGCAGTCTTGCTATCAACATGTAAAGAGGTTATCAAAAGAAGAATCCAAAGCATCACCCTTTGCTCTTCCATCTTTTGCAAAGCAGCATCAGCTCGTGGGAGCATATTCAGTTGTAAGAGACTGGTCCGGGCAGCTATTTAGAACTGTAGGTTATATATGACCTGAAGCTTTCTGATCTAGCGTTTGTGAACCTCTTTGACGCTTAGTTGCCTCTGCATCTTTGCCAGTCTAGAGACTTTTCTGATGGAGGGGTACCGCATAAAATTCTAATGGAGGAGTACACAGTGAATAGACCTCGTTAACCAGATAATGTTATAAGAAAATAAATGAATCTGATGCAGCTGGTAGGGGGGAATGGAAGGCATAAAAAAAAATTGGCGTCTTCACTGGAAGTTCAGGGTTTTATGTGTTTTTATGGTAAACAAGAAAAACTGCTTTGGTCTAAGAATCTATCCATTGTCAATAAAACTGAAGTTCCTTAGTCTCTTATCCTTTTTCCCATAAGTGTACACTAGTACACGATTTGTTCCTTTTCCAATCATCCTTTGTAAATTGGTCGTTGGAGGCATATATAAAATAAAGTACAAATCCAATTGGAACCGATCGTGAATAGCACATCCCATTTGTATGAGCTACTTATCTCATGAATGGAGGTTCTTCGTCCAAGCGCCATGGCATCAATTCTTTTCTCAGTGTCCTTGGCATCTGTGTTCAACCTCAAGTTGCACGCACAATTCGGTGAGCTATGCTTTTCATATGCATTTTCTTTCTCATTAATGCTCCTAGATGCATGGTTTTATTTCTTTTTGTTGATGCTCCTTGCCCACATCCCAATCTCAATATTCCCCGCACAGCACCCCAGCTTTCTGTGGTTTTCACAGAATATATGCTGCCTGAGCCTGCAAATAAACTATCACGGCGGCGACTATCTTACACTTATTGACAGTTACTGTTGAGCGATGCTCGCTGAGCAACTAGTCTGGTCTAGTGGTTATGTGATGCTCTTGCAGTTCACGGGCACCGTGGAAGCACCTGAAAGGGTTCGTTCCTGATATGGTATCTAATGCCAAATTTGCACTTGAGATTTTTTACCTCGCTTATATCTGTGTATATGTGTGCTCTTATGACACGTGGTTAGATTTGTTTCAAAGAAATCTGTGATTTAAATTAGATTATGTTGAGGTGGTCGAGAGGGACATCTTCCGTATTCTTTGTTGGGAGTATCTTTGGAGCATATGGCATTTCAATTCCTGGTCAGTGCTTTTGATTTTGCTCTCTTTTTCATATTCCAGTGATCAGATTAACATTAGTCACTTTCGTGCGCAGTATTCCCCTTTAGTTGTATGCAGTGGTGCCACATTTCGCCTCCTGGTTAATTGCAGATGTATTATCACTTTCTCGGTGTTAGGTGCATCAGGATTTGTCTCCCTGGTAGAGATGGTACTGATCAACAGTATCGCACCAAACTTGCCTATGTATTTTTTCCGGAAAAGTTGATGATGCTCTCTTTCTTGGACAACATACACCAAAACTTGCACCAACTTATGCTGGATATTGTCATTCTTCCTCATTTGTTTGAGTCTGACTTCTATTCATCACATAGGTGCTGTATGAGTAATTCTTGTTTAACCTTTCTTCATCAGTGGGTGCTCTCGAGTCTTGACTCTAG